ATGTTTAGCTTAATGAAGAGAAGACTGAGGGGAGACATGATAGCAGTCTTCCAATACTTGATGGGCTGCCACAGGGAAGAGGGCATCAATTTATTCTCCATAGCACCTGGGGGCAGGACAAGAAGCAATGGGTAAAAGCTCATCAAAGGGAGATCCAACCTTATTTGTCCAATAAGGACAAATTTCCTGACAGTGAGAACTATTAAGCAGTTAGGACTCCTGCCTTGGGCAGGGGGTTGGACTAGAAGACCCCCAAGGTCCCTTCCAACCCTATGATTCTATGGTTCAGTACCTGAGGCAAACATACACAGTAGCAAGAGACAAGAGCATTTCAATAACATACTCAGCAAAAATTCCAAACTAGAGAGAAATTGCAGAGATTTGCTCAACTGACAGGCCAAGAGATTTGCTCAACTTCCCCCATGGCAGACCACGGGGAAGCAACCAGCAGCAGGATCAGAAGAATTCTTTCCAGCAACCTACCAATTGTTAGAGAGGGTGTAAATATTCCATATTGAGCCTCCTCTCAGCACCAACTGAGAGTCATCAATCCTCATATGAGCAGTAGCCCATATGTTCTTCTGCCAGAACCAGACTTCCGCAGAGTGCAGTCTTCTGACTTTGTATCCAGAGTCTACATTTGTCCCAAGGGCTGGGTGGTCTAACCTCCAGATCAGGGTCTGGGTCACTTGACTTGGCCAGGCAGGAATTGGTTTCGCAGTATGAGGGCTGCTGGAGGTCAGAACTCCTGAGGAACCTGCCTCCCCTTCATGCCCATCTGTATACAGTATCTGAAGATGTGTCTTCAGCCAGGGGAAAGACACAAGTGGAAACCTTCCTGATTCCATTTTTGAAAGTTGTCTGCTTTATTTTCTAATCCTCCCTTTCACTGATAATCCTTTTTCTTTCCTTTACAGAACCTCTTTGCACAATTATTTAAGTTACTAGAACACAACCCTGTTGGTGGTTTAAGCATTCTCTGTGTGCATGTGAATGGTCCCAAGAGCAAGAATCTGACCTAAGCAATGATTAGTGATGCAGGTTTTAGAACTATAGCAGACTGGAGACTTACAAGAAATATTTTATAGGGATAGGCAAAGCATGGCACCTATCTAACTACAGGTAGTCCTTGACTTATGACCATAATAGGGACCAGAAAATTCATTGTTAAGCGGTGCAGTAGGTAAGCGAGGCATCACATGACTGCACCTGATTTTAGGACTTTTTTGCGGCGGTCATTAAGTGAATCACACAGTTCCTCATTGAGTTTGCTTGTCGGAAGCCGACTGGGAAGGTCATAAATGGTGATCGCATGACCCCGGGATGCTGCAACCATTGTAAATACATGCTGGTTGCCAAGCGTCTGAAGTTTGATCATGTGACTGTGGGGACACTGCGATGGTTGTAAGTGCAAGGACTGGTCATAAGTCACTTTTTTCAGCACCGTTGTAACTTTGAACAGCCACTAAACAAAGTCAAGGACAACCTGTACATTCTACTAGGAGAAGAGTGAAAATGCATGCACTCTCTGTGAACCTGGGAAGCAAGGCAGATGGTAATAATCTCTTAAAAGGAAGAGCAGGCACAGTGAAAAAGAAACACAGAGTAAATCTTTTAACTCTCAATTTATACCCTACTCTATCTACTTCCTATATTGTGGTCAGCTGGTCATGATGTGTTGATGAGTCAGTGTTCCTAGACTTGGAACTCCAATAGTTTACAGTAACAATCGGTGTGCCTTGAAAGGGTGCTTTTCTTTGATCAAGGTCCCTTTGGTGTCTCCCTTTGGTGTGGTTCCATGAATTAGCCCTCTTTCAAAGTGCTATGCATAGTGGACCCATCACATTGCATCGAATTAGCTACTTCTCTGGCCTTCAGTGGTCTCCTGCATAGAAAACAAAGGATTGGGTGAAACATGGGGCCTGCCTCAGTGCTTCTGACTGGAGGTGGAACATCTTTCTTTTCTACATCAAGGCACTGCCTCAAAGCAGGTCACTTCAGCAAGTGGACTCAAGGCAGGTTTGCAAAGAGGTGCCATTGTGCACAACCCTATATTTTTAAGAATATCAGATCAATGATTGGTCTAATTCATTTTTTAACAGGGGCAAGTCATATTGTTCTAGGAAACTCACAAGGAAGGCATAAGGTATTAGGTTTGTCTAATTATTTAGTTAAGGCAGCTTTTTCTAACCTTGAGTCCCCAGATATTGGGGTCCAGTTATTATCACACCTAAATATTGGTCAAGCTGATGTGATTATAGGAGTTGTAGTCAACCCTCATTTGAGGGACTTAAGGTGGGAAAGGCCAACTTAGGCTTAGTTGTTGCTAAGCTTTTAATTCTATGTGATACTTTGTATTAAACTCTATAGTTCAATTTGAATAGGTAGAATCAGGTCCCAATTACTGATCTTTGTGAAAGAAAACAGTATATTTCTGACTATATTTCTTTCCCCTTGAAAAGACCTATTACTTTTCAAATGCATTTTGAATACCTTTTCCTTACTGAAGTTGTAGAATTATGTAAATGGATTCACATGCACATTTCCTTGTTCTCATATTTGAAAATGAAGCTTAATCCCCTGCCTGTGATTTCTCCTGGTAATCCCGCTAGCAATATGTTGAGTAATTTGGTGAGTGTAATAAGAAAACAGCATCAGAATGTGCAGAAAGGAAAAAAAAAAAAAGAACCTGATATTTAGTATTCATTGGAGTTACTGTATTCAAAAGACATTTTAGAAAAAAATGCATTTTAATTGCTTATTGGCTTTCTTGCTTTCTGGAAAGAGATGGAAATTTATGAAAGACAAGGAATAGATGTGCTAAATGAAACAATTTGGAACTTGAAAGGAACTGAGAAAAAATCCTTCATAAATGTTGAGCTAACCCTTCAGTCTGATTTTGGGAATCTCTGCAAGACTGAAACTGTGTGTGTGTATGTGTGTGTGTGGCAAGTAGATGCAGATGTTCAACTTATAAGGGAGGAGCAGTCAGTTTAAGAAAGAGTAATTAACATTTCCCCTTATCTACCACTTTTCACATAGATGAGAATTAGACATACTTTCTCATCTATGTGAATGTTACCAAGCTAAGAAGAATAGGCAAGAGAGAGTAAAGAATCCAACAAGGAAACAGAGCTGAAAGAGCTGGGAAGCATCTCTTACTACCTTGAGATCCAGGTAGAAAGAAAGAAGCATGAAAGTTATCTCCTGAACCAAACACAGAAGATAAAAGATCTTGAATTCTTAAGGCTACTGAAGCCATCTATATCAGTAGGCCTGAAGAAAATGACTTCCTAAAACAAATAGCAAACAATGTGAATGACAAATACAGGATATATTCAATTCTCCCAAATGGAGAAAACCTACCTTCTGAACAAAATATATAGACACCGATTACCACTTTGTGCAAGATGCTCAAGAAGAAGAACTCGATGAACTAACATACTGCTCATTAGAAGGGATGCTGGGAGATGCATTCACTAAGCCTTTACCCAGAGATTGGTATGAAACCCCTCAATAGACTATGGGAATTGTGATTGGTGCATGAGTCAGTAAAAAAGGATATTGGAGCCCCAAATCCAGTGGCACTGAGTCTTCAGTACCTCATGACCTACTGACCAGAGGGCATAGTAGATTATAGACATTTAAGGATTCACTCAAGGCCCCCTCTTTCTCCCTGTCCTTTGTTTAAGAGACTGCTAATCTATACTCACGTATTTCTGCCTTGCTTCCCAGGCGCACGTATACAAAGCACATGCTCTGGGACTCTCCTGCAGGCAGGATATAGTTAGTTAGGTGCTGGACTTTGACTATCCCTATAAAAAGTTTATTTTAAAATTAATATTATTTCAGTTATAAAACATAAAACTCACACACACAGAGTGCTTCAACCTGCAAGAATAATTTGAATACATAATGCAGTAAATTCAAGCCAGGGAAGTATAGCTGGGGAAAATTTCGCAAGATTCATAATGGACAACCACATTTTTTATTCTGTTTATCAGTAAACTTGTGAGGCAGATTGTTATTATACCTTTGTAATAAACTGAGACATTAAAGATGGGTAGATTTGTTCCATGATATGATGAGTAGGCTGATGTTATTGTCTAATAAAATTCCACACAATTGAAATCCACATCTATACGAGGCTGTTGTAAATCAGCAGCAGAAGGTCCTTGATGAATGGCATTTAGATTTTCATGCAGATTATATGAGAAGTGTGCATTAAATTTCTTAGGCCCTTGGTTGTTCAGTTTGTTTGGGATACAATGCAAAGAACGTATCTATTAATTAAGTTAACTATTAATTAGAGTAATTAGGTTCACAACCTAATTATAGAGAGAATGCTAATGATACCAAATAGCAAATTCCAGAGGGGTAATTTTGCTGGGTTGTTAGGTTGCTGCACTAAAACCATTCAAATCCTTTGCTTATGATAGTAATAGAATTTATGTAAACTGCTTGTTTATGTATATTCGTTTGGGGGGGGGAAAAGAACAGCATCTGACTTTTTGTCTAACTGCTTGCTTTTATGTTAAGTACTTGGAAAAAATGGCCAGGACAAGTAATCTGAAGCAAGGCTGTATATGTGGAAGAGTATGATTGGAGAAATGATAGAGGTAAAATGTAACAGGTAGAAATTGTGCCTCCTGAATGCATCGTGTGGGTTTGGTTTTTTGTTTTTAAATATTCTGTTCAATTCCTTGACCCTTCAGGAACTTAAATGATCGCTGGACATATGTCCTCTCTCAAGGACAGGGCTGAACCATACATTGAAATGGGTGAAGGAGAAATCCATACTCATAAGACTGTTAAGAGAGTTTTATCACCAAAGTCAGAAACATCCTTAAAGGTTACATTTAAGATTCTTTTTTAGATCAGTGGCTACACAGCATAGCCAATAATAATTTGTCTTCCTTTACCACACAATTTGCATTATTGCTTTGCTCCTTGTGTAGAAGGTCACACTTTTGGCAACATGAGAAATACACACTGGTTCGAATTAACTGCTGTACTGGTGATGATCCTAGAACTCTGTGCAAACAGGAAGAATAATCAATGTAGTCTTTTGGATGCTGCTATTCTTTACTCTTTATTTTTATAGTTCATATTTGATTCATTTATCTCGCTGATCAAGAAGGGAAAAGGTACAAGCATTCCTTCAGTGCTGCCCAAGGCCACAGCTGCCACTTCAAGAGTTGAGGTCTGTATATGAATGTGCTTTGTCTTAAATATTAATCATATACTGACTATTGCTGTTACTATATGAACTGGATAGAAATATTAATAGAAATCTTCATAAGAAAAACTCCTTGCAAAAAAATAATTGTACTTATATTTGCTTCAAAAGAAATTGGAAGCTGCTGCTTCTTTTCTTTCTTTCTTTCTTTCTTTCTTTCTTTCTTTCTTTCTTTCTTTCTTTCTTTCTTTTTACTGTTTATCAGTTTGGGTTAGTTTTTATGTTCTTTGTAAAATTTTTAATAAAATTTATTTTAAAAATGCCTTGCAAAAAATGCCTTGCAAAAAATGCCTTGCAAAAAATTTTATTATACATGAAACTTACGGTAACACTAGTTTTGCTCCAAATGATTATTAATCCTTTTGGGTTGGAATGCATCCTTTTAGTACATAGCTAAAGGAGAATTTTTGATTGGCTTATTTAATGTTACAGTCTATTAGATCTGCATGATTTAGGACATGTCTCCTTGAGGCTTAATCTGAGCCAATGTTTATCATGGTTCTGTTTTAGAACCTGCTTTGAATAGTAGAGTTGGGTACTAATCCTAAGAAAGATTTTTGCTCATATTCCAGAAAGTAACAATCAGACCGTTCTTACCTAGGCTTATGGAAGAAGGGATTTCTGACTAAACAGTTCATTTCCCAAGATTGCTGAGACATCATGATTTAACAGTTAGCTATTTCATTTCTTACTGCAATTATTCTCCTATCCTAAATAATTCGTATTACAGACTTAGCTGTGCTGCAACCTAGCAGTTGGTCATAAGAATCATAAAATCTAACTTCCCAGCTCCTTAAGCGCAGACTGTGTTCCTTTGAACAAAGCTCAAAACGTTTTGCATCTTCAGGCCATAGGAAAGAATAGAAACTTGTGTCCAACTGCTACTCCCCTGTTTTTCAACCCAGGGCCACAGAGTAGGTTGAATGAGAGAGCCAATTTGGTGTAGTGGTGAAGGTGCTGGCTTAGAAGCCAGGAGGTGGTGAATTCTAGGCCTGCCTTAGGTGGGAAAACCGGCTGGGTGACCTTGGGCCAGTCACTCGCTCTCAGCCCAACCCACTTTGCAAGATAGTTGTGGGGAAAATAGGAGGCAGAAATATTAGGTATGTTTACCAACTTGAATTATATATAAAAACATGGGATAGAAATCTAACAATAATCATAATCCTAATAATGGATGACAGGGGAATGATTTTCAGTTGAGAGGAGGGGGGACTTTAAAGCAAAATCCCATAGGATCCAACAAAAACATACTTTTGCTCTCATTAATTGAAAAACTGGTTTATATTGATGCCTGTTAACACCTTCTCCCCCTCCATAGAAAGAACAGATAGATGTATTTCCAATTTCTTGAAATAAACCCTTTGGGTCTTTCTGATATATTATAGGAGGAAGAGACCGGTAAACTCTTTAAAACAAACTCCCAGTTAGTACATCTCCCTCTATGTTTTATTTTTTTAAATAATATAATCTTCATGGGCAATTTTCAGTTGGCACTGGTTATTTATTTATTTGTATTTGCAGCCTGCAGTGTGTTTTTTTTCCCCCTGGGGATAGGACTGCCTGCTGG